TATATTTTTTAAAAAAAAAAAAAAAAAAAAGAATCTGAGCAACATCTTTTCTACAGCTGTATTTTTGTCAAGCGTTTTTGGGACAGAATGTATCAATAGCTACAAACAATGTAATACCTGATTTTGATAATCACATTAAGTTTGGTGTTTTTATTCAAAGCAACGGATTTGAATTTTTCTGTAATAGTATTTTGATTATGGGTCCGTTTTATTTAGACAAGTTTTATGGCATTGAAAATGTAAATTGTAGTCCTTAAGTCACCTAAATAAAGAAATGGCTTAACTCTCTAAATACCTTGCAAAATAGTTTCATTTATGTTATAATTAGCTTTTATTTATTTTGGCGCTTTATATATATATATATATATATATATATAACAGAAGTTTTAGATATACTTTATATATTTATATATTTTATTTATTTTTAGACTTACATTTATATTGTGTGTGATAGTCTGTTATTACATTTTTTTTGTATTTTTGGAGTCTAGGTATGCTGACTTTTTTTTTTCATTATCAATATTTTTTGCTGAGCACACAGTTTAAGAGTGATGAGCGTGCTTTTGTTTGGACTGTTGAATGATAATGTGTAATGTGGTGAAGAAGCGTAATAAAGGGTAAATAAGTTATGTTAATATGGTTTTCTGTGCCATCTCAGGCAGCTCTCAAGGTCTGAGGAGGAAGCAGCGCTCTGTTCTCACAAATGATGAGCTGTTATACGACCCAGACGAGGATGATCGCGACCAGGCTTGGGTGGATGCAAAAAGAAAAGAGTAGGTTTTTGTCACTTAAAAATGTAAGTTATAACAAAAGGTTGTGTCATTCATAGCTTATTTCCATTTTTGATACAGATACAGAAATCAGAGGCGGCTGCCACCATCAGCAAACAGAAGAAACAAACCACACGCTGTTCCAAGCAGTGATGCTGTCCTCAACTGTCCAGCCTGTATGACCACCCTGTGCCTGGACTGTCAGAGGTACGGTCACATTCAGTTCATATTGCACTGTGAGCGTCTGTGAAGATTATTTCCCAAGTCTAAATGACTTCTCAACCCACAGGCATGAGAGATATCGGACGCAGTACAGAGCCATGTTTGTGATGAACTGCACAGTCAACAAAGAGGAGGTGCTGTGCTATAAAACCGCCAATAAGAGAAAGCAGAACCGGCACAGAAAGAAGGCCCGTCGGGAGAGCACATCCACATCCACAGAGGCTGAAATGGAGTCAAGTGCAGGTCTGACTGATGCACGCTTGGCAGGAATGGATGAAGAAGAGATATATCACCCAGTCAAGTGCACAGAATGCTCCACTGAAGTGGCAGTGTATGATAAAGATGAAGTGTATCATTTCTTCAACATCCTAGCAAGTCACTGCTAAGGACATTTACTGGACTTATAAATACAAACCACATGTTTTGGTGATGTGCATCACCAGGCAACTTTGCTGTACAGTACATAGAGAGAGTTACGTTTTTT